AGTGCTGCAACTCTGACCTACGAAGGGCTCGAGACCGTCGAGATGTATTGCAGACTTTTTGCGCCTGTCGATGAAGGCTCTTGACGCTGGAGTCCCCTTGCGCTCCGTGAAGTTAACTTATTGACCGATTTGAAGCTGGACAGCATGAGTAGAAACGAGAGCACAGGATAAGCCGCTGATTGACTTTCGTGGAGGAGGTAGGCGCGATGCAGCTGACTTGCAAGAGCGGCGTCCTCGTCGACAACCCCTGGACATCGAGGGCATTGGGGCGGCCGCATCTGAAGAGAGCGATGCAGCATCCGAGGGCGAGGAGTGGTGCGAGCCGACATGTGCCAGTTCAACTTGCGACACCCGAAGTCGGAAGCTAAGGTTCGGAAGGCTGCCGAGCACTTGGTCTCCCGCGGCCCTGCGTCGAGAAGTTGGGCAAGCTGTGCGGCGGAGCGCGTCGACATCGCCAATTGGAAGATTCATGCTGCGCTCTGCAGGCAGGGCGCTGCGCCTAGGAGTTCGCGAAGGCAGTCTTGGAGGCTTACCAACTTAGCAACGTGACCGATAGGATGGGATGCGGAGTCTATTCCATCGGAGATAATGGGCTTCATGGGAGGCGAATCCAACTAGTGGGTCTACTGAGCGAACGTGGGCGGCTTTAGCGAGCTGTCTGTGAAGTTTCCTGACGGCTCAGACAGGGCGCGAGTGGGGCACTGTCGAATCGTCGACCTCGCATCGGACGTGGCACTGCAGGACTTTGAGGAGGGCGACATCTCCCCAGATCTCATCAAACCAAAGTTGGACCGCTTTGCCATCCTGAAGGTGCAGATACGGTACCCGCCAGAGACAGTTGCGGACAACGTCGGGGCGCGGGCGATTCAGTTTGGACCTGGAAGCTCGGGGCGCGCCGTGCCAGTTGCAATCTCGTTGACTTCTCAAGGATGTCGAGCCGACGTGGCGACGGCAGCGAAGTCTTTGCGATGTGCGTCGTGCATGCAAAAGGCCAAGGAGGATTGCCAGACCAGCGAGACTTTCGCGCGCCGCCGACATCAACGAGCAGATCGGCTTGGACTGTTTCACCATCCTGGACATAGGCGGCAGCGCTTGAGATTCTCAATCAGTGGTGGGTCTAGGAACTACCTTTCGCGTTGTTGGCGTGGTCGAGAGTCATCATTCGGGGACCTTGGTATAGATTTTCAGACAGATATGGGCAAGTTGAGCTGGGCTACCGTCGAGTGCGGCGGTGGATTTGGAGCGTGGCCTTGGTTCGGTGTGCCAGGAGATGCCGGGTGAGTCTCATTGTGCCGTGGTGCCAGTTGCTGGACGCACAGCTTCTAGGCATGGGCGCGCCGAGCCGCGAGGAGGCTGGTGGAACGAGCTGGCCGAGAGGGCGATGGCGCGCGCCGCGGCGTCCGGATTACCAGTAATGCGCATCGTGGGTGCGGTCGTGCTGGAGCCGAGAACGCGCTGCGCCGCCAGTGTGCGTTCAGCCCAGAACAGTGGGCTGTCGGCAAGAGCGCTCGTCTGCCCCAGCATCTCGTCGACGGACGACTCAAGACGCGGGCGGCGGCTCGCGGGGCTTTCGTTGAGATGCGGAGCGACGGCTTTCTCAGGAAGGCGCCGCGCGGGTGAATTCGAGTGCCCCCTCATTCTCTTGAGCAAGGAGACCTTTGCTTCTACTGCCGTCAGCGCAAGGAAGGTTCCACTAAGAGAGGTTCCAGGTCTGATCTGGCTGGGAACGCGGGCGAGCAGGGCCATAACTATTGGATGATACAGGGTTTTTGCCGAGCTCGAAGCAACCCGCGCGTGCGCGGCCAGTCGCTACTGACGAAGTTCGGTGGCCTGGCATCGATGATCAGCATGGGGGGCCGTTGATGAGTTCCAGCGGCCACGCCGAGATGCTGACGCCAGCGCCGACTTGGAGTGGGGGGATTTGCGTGGAGAGAAGAGCCGCCGCCTAGCGATGAAGCTGTGGGGATGGGCGCTTAACCGCCTCAACCTGAGCCGCCAGCTGAGCGCCGCCGGAGGTTGCTGATGCTGAGCTCCCGCCCGCCGAGGTCGAGCGCCCAGTTCAGCCGTCTACGACGCCGGCGTCGCCGCCCACGGCGCCGGCGGTACCTGGTCAAGACCAGTCTCGACCTCAGCCGAACAACGCCGACTGGGGTCGCGAGGGGTCCGAAGACGCCGAGCTGCGCGCAGTCTTCAAGGTGACGTGTCGCAATGCATTCGGTGGTGTCTACAACGGGTGACAGCGTCGCGGCGGACGCGCGACGAGCAGCGCGACAATCGTATTGCGTCGTCGCCGAGGACGAGAGTGACGAACAGATTGCGACACACTCGAGTTTCGCGACCATGCCGAAGGGAGCTCGAACGCAGAGCGAAAGGCTCAATAAGAAACTACATGGCAAGGAGATTACCTGGGAGGACATCCCCGACGATCGGGGGCCTCCCTACCAGATGGCCATTGCGAGCGCTTGGGGGGTAGGGGGGGAAGTTCGGTTCGGTGGAAGCATTGCAGCCGGGAGAATGAAAGCAAGCTTGCCGCGACACAGCGACAAGAACAGGTTCTTGCCATCAAAGTTCGTGTTTCGTGACAAGAGCGCCAACTCCCGCGCGGAGGCCAATCCAGCATATGCGAGGGCGAAGGCTCTTCAATATGCAGGAGGTCATCGATGTCCTGATGCTCGAACTGGGTCCATGCGCGCAGATGCGCCGATTGTTGCGCGCGCGCGTTCGTCTTCCCCCCCATAATGGCCGTCCGACACTACTTGGGGCCAGCGTGCGCATGCGCAGACCTTCGTGTCGACCTTCATGCATGGCCAGGAGCAGCCCAGGGACAAGCCATTATTCGTGGAGCAGCCGCCGCACATCGTTGAGAGCATCTTCGGTTTGGCTACTTCTCCCCAGCAGGTGTGGGCTACTCTCACGACAACACTACTTGAGGTCAATCTCATGGGTCTGGGTGGTCGACAATTCAATATTGTGCAGAGTTTGGTGGGTCCAGCTTTATTCGTGGGACATGGATTATTTTTGGCGTTGCAAGCCATTGTGTGCGTTCGTGTGGATGGTCTGTAGATCGCCGCCAGCGCGGCCGCCAGCTACGAGATCATCAGGGGTTTGTTTCCGTTCGGTGCTAGGCAAGGTTCGGGGCTCGCATTTTGCGCCGAGCACGCGGTGGGCAGACCACATGGAGCAGTCTGTACGTCGCAGAGCGCGTTCGCCGAGAAGGTGGAGCTTGGAGTTGAGCAAGGGGCGCAAGAGAGATTTGGGATGTCCAGCTACCGAAATCGAGGCCGCCGGGAACCGGAGCCTGATCGAAAGTATAGGCCGGCTTGCCATTCGGACCCGTCTTGATTTAACAGCTGGAGTTTCAGTGGCTCAGCGGGGGCAGAATTCTCCGACGGTAGCCGACTTCGTCGAGACGAACTGCATCGTGTC